GTCAGAGGTCAAGGTAAAAGGCAAAAACCGGCACATGTGTAGTGATCTGAAAGTAAGCCTTCTAGAGACCGGCAGGATGCATCAAACCGGCAAAATTGGGTGTCAAACAAAAGAAAAGAATCTGAGGATTCCGAAACTGTGCTCAAAATCAAAGTTCAAGGTCAAGGTCACGCCCAAAATTGACCTCAAACTTTGCACTTTTTCGTACATCTTGCGTGCTAACTTCCAAAATGTTTTGAAATGTTTTGAGGCTTATCAGTTCCCTATTTGTGGTTCATCTTACGATACGAGGCTGCTCAAAGGTCAAGGTCACAGAAGAGTATCCTTGCTAGCAGGGTTGTGCTTGACTCATGAGTCGAGTCAGAAATTTGACTCAACTCTGACTCAAATGAGTCAGATTTGAGTCGAGTCGGATAAAATGTTGAGCTGTTGAGTTGAGTCAGAGTTGAGTCGGACAAAAATATTAAGGTGTTGAGTTGAGTCAGAGTTGAGTCAGTAAAATAGCTAAGTAAAAGACATTGAGCTGAGTCAAGCATTTAGGAACATGAGTCAGCTGACTCAACTCTCTAGAAACAATTTATAATATAAGCTTTTCACCCCCACCCCCCGCTTAACAACTTAGCCCTTGCCCTGCTGCCAGATTTTTTCACCCCCCCCCCCCCCCGCTTAACAACTTTTTTATCTGAGTCAATTTTGAGTCAACTTACTGAGCTCAACAAAAAATTTGAGTCAAGTTTGAGTCGACTCATAATTTCATTGAGCCGCTTGAGTCATGAGTCGAGTCAAGGGAAAAAATCAGCTCCTTGTTTGAGTCAGAGTTGAGTCAGGGCTTTCTGAAGTTGAATGATGAGTCGAGTCGGCAAATTTTTTTGAGTCGAGCACAACTCTGCTTGCTAGAGGCTATTTCACTGATTCAAGTTAGTAATAATAAATAAGACAATTTTGCCATCCGGAAGCTCTAAATGAAGGATGAGAGGAAAATAGCTGCCAGATTCGTGATCAGCGGGTACAAATTCAGCATAAACGACCTTTCATGTGTCAAGGTCAACCAAAGGTCATTCGAGGTCACATGAGGTCAACATAAAATTTGACCTTTTCCAAACAAAATATATATATCATTTAACGCGGTTCGACAAGGCGAATGCGATGGTACCACTGCCGTAGCTCTAGGATCATTTTTGTCGAAGTTATTTGCGAAAAAAAAACTAAAACCACATTTCGGGGTCGTTGACCTGACCTCTGACCTCAGGTCACCCAAACTATTTTTCTATTTTTCTCTAGGTCAAACGCTACACAACCGTGCTCGTAATTTGTCTTTATCTCTAAAACTCTATTTTTAGCAGCTATTTGAAGTTTGCGTCTGTGACGCCGAAGTTTGCCGTGCAGGGGTCTAGAAAAATCGACCTTGTGACGTCATCAAGGGGGCTAGGTCCAAATTTTTTACTTCAGAAGATGTCAAATTGATGGGAGAAAAGGTACTGAAAGTTTCGCTTTCTTATCCTTAGGCATTCGGGAGCTATCGCAAATATTCGCCAGGGGGGGCGAAAAACGCCCCCCCCCCCGGGGCCCGCGAGGGTTAATCGAAGTATGTACCCAAAATTAAGAACACAACGGATTTCGGCCACATAATCTTAGCGGTGCCATCTTTTCAGTTTTGTTTTATATTCTTTTACTTTTGGTCAGTGTCTTAAGGTGGTGACCCTGGCAGGCCTGTGGTGCCCCTTACAGGCCTGTGGTGCCCCTGCAAGGACTGTGGTGCCCCTGGGCCCTGACAAGCCTAAGGCGCCCTGACAGGCCCATGATGCCCCTGGCGGACCTGTGGTGTCCCTGCTAGGCCACTGGTGCTCCTGGGCCCTGACAGGACCGTGGTGTCCCCGACAAACCTGAAGTGCCGACAGGCCTATAGTGCCCCTGACAGGCCCAAGGTGCCCCTGGCAGGCCTCTGGTGCCCCTGGCAGGCCTCTGATACCCCTGGCAGGTCTGTGGTGCCCCTGATAGACCTGTGATGCTCTTGCTGGGCCGATGGTGCTTCTGACAGGCCTTTGGTGCCCGTGACAGGCCCGTGGTGCCCTTGCTAAGCCTGTGGTGCCCCTGGCGGGCCTGTGGTACCCCTGCTAGGCCGGTGGTGTCCCTGGCAGGCCTGTGGTGCCCTCGGGCCCCAAGGGGGAGTCATGACCCATGTGACCCCCTCTCTCGGATCCGCCACTACTGGCGAGAGAGAATGGATGAGTCATACATGGCTTCCACAGAACGTGACGCTGCCGCCCAGGGGCCAGAGGAAGAAGCATAGCCTCCCATGTCGCTCTATAGATGACGCTCCACACAGTGACCAGAATCATAAGATGATAATATACGATAAAGGTGAGCTGGAAGCCAGATGGAGATTTACTTCCTGCGTGTGATGATATGATACGGGAAGGGAGATTTCGGGAAAGCAGGATCCGTAAAGAAAATTATTATTACCAGTATAACGCCTTTTGGGGCGACTAACGGAGCGAGCGAGAGGGTGGGCCTTGCACGTGCGAACTTGCGAGGGGGTACCTCCAACTGACTTGTGCACGGCACCCTACTAACCGGTCTCTAGCGATGTGCCAAATTTGAGCACAATCGGCCCAGCCGTTCTCGAGATCTGGAAGCGGCACCCTGCACGTGCGCATGTGCAAAATGGGTCCCGACTGACTTTTGCACGGCACCCTACTAACCGGTCCCTAACTGTGTACCAAATTTGAGCGCAATCGGTCGAGCCGTTCTCGAGATCTGGAAACGACCCCTGCACGTGCGCACGTGCACCAGCACCCCAACTCTGGCACATGGATATGCAGTGCCTAGTGGGTGCCTACCTACATGCCAAATTTCAGCGCAATCGGCCAAGTAGTTACCGAGATATTGCAACAATTACAAAACTGACACCTCTTCGTTTTGCACGTGGCACGTGCATAAGGGGTCACCCACATGCATCGGGAATAGTCCAATACTTGGTAGAAGGAATGAAGCTACCCTACAAAAATTACCGCATGTAAATCGGTCAAGTGGTTGCTGAGATATAAGCCTCGCAAAAGCGTCCGCACGGCCGGCCGGCCGGCCGCTCATACTCAGAAATTTCCGTTAATCTAAGGAAAGACTCCGCTCGCTTCGCTCACTCCGTAATTATTTTTGATAAATTTAGTTCCAACCTTTTGAATGGAAGCTTGTTGCGTTGACCCTGCCCTCTACCCTCCGATCGTGCAATTCCGGTTCTATGGCAGAATTTGGAGTCCAAAGTTTAACGTGCGCACATAGCCGCGCACGGCCATTATCAGTATTCTATCAACTGTCAAGCGTAGGTATGTGATTCCTCGCTCGATGAAAACGGGTGTCTTTTTTACTTTCCTTAAGGTATTTTTTATGCGCAATATTGTGGTCCCCATGATCGACGTATCGAGGGTCAACTTTTTATGTAGCACTCTATTTCGCGCTCGAGATATTCCGCTTTGTAGGCTCTAATACAACGCCATCTCCGTAGGTCTTGCCGATCGGGTGGTAGGGCCAGGATTTATGAAACTGGCCTCAAGCTAAGAGTGAGTCCTTATCTGCGTCATTTAACAATAAAAATGGCTAAAATGATAGCAAAAAAATATTAGGGATAAAATTAAAATGTAGTTTTGCTGCATGAGCCAGCGAAGTCAGTGGGAAGGGGCGACTTTCTAAATGTTTTTAGCACTATTTTGACGGATGAGTTTTATTTCAAGCAATCAACATGCTACCCCGTGCATCACACACCAGCCACTCCCATGCACTTACGGTCACCTCAGACTCAGACGCCAGAGCCGCAGGATGACTGGCGCTTCTGATCCGGCGCCGGATGGCTACGTCAGGTGGCTGCGCTCCCACTGCAGCGCGCAGGCTACGGGGGAGGGGCAGATAGCAGCGCCAAGGTGAACACATGCCCAGCCAGATTTCGTCCCATGCGAGAAAGCAGCTGCGCAGTCTTTTTTGCTTGTTCATATCATCTCTGGCGCAAGTTTCGGTGTGCGGAAAATTACGCAGACATAACACTACAACCATAAGCTATTTAGGTACACAGCATCACACAATCATGCTAGCTATAGTCCGTTTTTCTTATCTTTAGACTTCACTCCAAGATGTTTCGCAAGATATGCACGAGACAAAGCATGGCTTAGAAAAAATCAAGCCCTTCGGAAACAGAAAATATTGCCTTGAAGCCTGGAGAGTGGCGCTCTTGGGTGCGGCAAGTGCAGATTTGTAGTCTCACAAATGTGTATTACATAAATAGGTAGGTACTTATACCTACCTGCTACAAAAATTAAGTTGGATAAAGTTTGGTATGCTAACCGAACTATCGATCCGATGAATTAAAGGGTACCTATAAAAGCGAATATCACTTGGAAATGAACTATTCTGCAAATGGACACAAGTCATCATCAGTGACTTTAGTTCAAGACCTATAGGGCTTGGTTCCAGCCGAAGTTTTTTGAAACCGCAGGTGCGTGCGACTGCGAGTGCGGACCCAATGCAAGGAAATTCTTGAAGGAGCTCGGCGTGTGGCTCGTAACAAGTTCTGGCGACTGTCGTGAAGCACTTGGTTTGTGGTTCGCTATCGCAGACATTCGAGTGAACGCGTTTTCGATAGTATTGACTGTGACGTTGTAATCCTCACGAAGTATCATGTGGACGGGTTAGACTGCGTGACGAGAGGCGGAGATGAATTATGCCTGTGGAGGTAGGCAACCCGCAGGACATGCGTGTTCAGCGGCGCAGGCTACCAACACGAGTTGGCTATATGAGCGTGTGTTTAGCGATGAATGCAGCATTGATCGAAATTAACAAATATACATACTATTTCAATGTGATGACATGTTTTGCTCGTATTACCCGCTAGTGTCTACAAATCTACCACCAGTAACTCGTAATACAAATTACAAAAGACAGGAAACACAGGAGTCGTACTCGTATATTGGGTATGTTTGGTTCACCGAAGCCATCGTAGGTCCCATGCGCCCTCAATCACTTTCACTGTCACTGTCGTCACTGCTCGAATCCTGAAGTGACACGATCACTGGCTCGATGTCCTCCATCATACCATCTGCTCGCCAGTACACCTCTTCCAGTTCTCGCACGTGGCGGCAGCAGTTTCGCCACAAGTCCGGTGGCGCGGCGTCTCGGCTATCCAGCAGCAGCCTTTCCACGTCATTCAGATGCCCAGTGTTGTTGAACTGGCGGACGTGCGTCTTCATGTTTGCCCAAACCATTTCAATCGGATTGAGGTCGCAATGATATGGGGGCAACCTCAGTACTTCATGACCGGCCTCCTGTGCCACCTTGTCCAACACATACTCGCGTGTCTGTTTCAGAGGGCGAACCAGCTCAAGAAGCTCGACCTTCCGCAAGTCCGGATCAGGATTGACATCATGTACCCGCAGCCATTCTTGGATCGCTTCCTTCCTCCAGCTAGCTGTAGGTGCCTTGTTAGCACATCTTGAATGATACGAGGCGTTATCCATAATGATCACGCTATTCGCTGGCAGGTTCGGCAGAAGTTGGAGTCGAAACCAGTCCTCGAAACAGCTCGCGTTCATAGACGTGTGATAGTCGGCAGACTTGCCGTCCGTCCTCATACACATGAATGCTCCTGGGGTGAAGCCGCTGTCCGAGCCAGCATCGACTATGATTAGGCGCTTGCCCTTCCCTGTCACTGGCTTATGGCCGGCCACGTCGTCACTGTCCAACCACGCGACCGTTCGCATATCAAACTGGTTATACCAGGTCTCGTCCAAGTACACTATAGTGCGCTCTGGGTCGGAGCTTCTAATCTTCCGAATGCGTCTCAGGAACGCGTTCCGGGCTGCCACCACCTGAGGTTTTTCAACCAGCAGCTTTCGGTTGTTCACTTGTCGGAACTTGAATCCTATTTGGAACAGCTGCTTTCGTATGGTTGAGCGCGAGATAGTCTGCTCGAACTTGTCCTGAACTGCCGCTCTAATGGTGTCCAAAGTGACCTTTTTCCCTTCCAGGTACATGGCATGCACCATTCTTCTGAACGCGCACTGGTCAAACTCGTCGAAGTACTCGCGTGGCCCCCTGTTAGGGCGCTGGCGGGCTGGAGACTGGCATCCATGTGTCTCTATTCCACTCTTGAATGCATTAACAGAGGCAATCGACACTCCAGTAGCAGAGCTGGTCTCCTTCGCTACGTTAATGCTAGCCGCTGCACTCTCATCACCTTGCTTGAGGTATTCATCTTTCTTTCGAATAAAATATTGGTAAACATTATAAACCACTTGTCTCGCTTGTGCACCGATCGGTTTTCCTTGCCGAAGTTTTGAGAGCATTGCATATTATTGTATACGAATGGATATAAATTTCAAAAGATATATAAAAGTCTCAGATTTCCTTGATACACAGCAGACATATGGTGTGTTCGCTTTTAGAGCCAGTGGCAATGAGCGTGACGCTTGATTTTTATTATCAAATTGTGTGACGTCACGTGCTAAGTTATCTGCACATCTTGGAGTGAAGTCTAAAGATAAGAAAAACGGACTATAAATAAGTTAGTTACACCACCAAACTGCTGCCTTTGGTTAACATTTGGATAACAAAACATGATGGTAGCAGAGTAATGCTCATACAAATTAAGTCGTAGTTTTTTTGTCCATGTGTAACCTGTGTATGGATGATGACCATTTGCTTTGGTGGGCTAATACATGATCCCCAGGTATTTATATTTACAGGTACTTTCGAATCAAAGCAGCAAAGTAAAGGGGGTGTGATTGTGTGGAAGAACTATCAAGTGAAATAAAGCATCGTAAACTTACCCAACATAGCCACATAATTAATTCTTTATCAGTGCTTTGTTAAACAAGGTCATTGCTGAGATCATGCCTACTAAACTTGAACCTACCCGCCCCCCCTATAATACTTAAATATATTCTGGCTGGAACATGCCAGAGTAGTTCTAGTACATAGAGGTGTATTTGCCATTGATCTACAGTGCAGACATATTTCTATCTTGCGCTCCTCTGAGATGCGAAGATATAGAGGATTCTTCATGGCTCTGAGTGGAAGATAAGGAACTCTTTTCCAAGCGGGTTACGAGGTTTTTCTGGAACACGCCAGGAAATGATATCATATCTTCCATGGGTGAGCCATGAAGGACCCCATATCTTCCTATGTAGAGGCTTATTCATAATTATTTGAAATATTATATTCAAATGTATTCATTTATTAAAAAACATCTAGAGTAGCCAGTGCACGGAGGCAGAGTATATTCATCGTACAGTTCAAACATGGAAAGCAGAGACATTGGCAGCTTAACAGTTAACACAGCGCAAGCAAGAACATTAGTTTGCCCCGCGTTTAGAGTAGGTTGTTTTCGATTCATAACTTTCACCCCTACAACCATCAAAAAATATATTGACGCATCATCACTTGAACGTTTGATTTTTGGCCATTAACACTCGAAACTTTATCTTTGCATCGCAGAGGAGTGCAAGATAGAAACATCCCTGCACTGTAGACCCAATGACCAAAAAAAAAAACTGTATGCACCAGAACGATAAGCCTAGAACCTCGCTCCTTCGTAGCTCGGTTTTTCAGTAACCCGCTTGGAAAAGATATCCGATCTTCCACGAGTGAGCCATGAGTAATCCTATATCTTTCTATGTAGAGGTTTAATTATTTAAAGTAATCAATTAAATTTAATTAACTAAATACTATATTCAGATATATTCATCTAAGCAAACACAGATTTAGAGAAGTTTTTTTTCTTAAGTTTCATGCACAAACAACCATCAAAAATGGTTCGGTCATCAACCCATCATCACTTGAACTCTTGATTTTGGGTGGTGAACCCTCGAGACCTTATCTTTGCATGCAGAGGGATGCATGGATAGCATATTCTTATCTTTGCATCTCAGAGGAGTGCAAGATAGAAATATTCCTGCATTGTAGACCCAATGGCAAATAAACCTCTACTAGAAAGATGTGTTCGCCATGGGCCGGGCCAGCCCGATGGGCCATCGGCTGGGCTGGACTACGGGCTGGGCTGGGCTACGGGCTGGGCTGGGCCCTCAAATATGAAGGATCGATGGGCTGTGGATGGGCTGGGCCAAGAGCTGTAAAGTGGAGTCAGGGGTTCGCAACTGAGAAAAAAAAACTATAACTAAATAGATTATTATTGTGCAAGACTCACAAACGGGTTAATAAAGCACACATGCAATGTGCATTGCGCATGCTGCTCGCTAAAGATTGTTTCTTTGCTACCTTTGGATACCTTGGTGGTGACCATAATTTTTAATCCATTCATTTTTGACGGGCTGGGCCGGGCTGGGCTTTGACGCTTTTGCCATGAATGGGTTCGGGCTCGGCCGGGCTGTGAACCCATGGGCCTGGACTGGCCTGGACTGGGGTTCTGCGGCCCGTGGCGAACACTGATACATACACCTGTATGTATAGATGCACGTATTACATAAAGAATCAAACAGCAGATCTTTATCGGAATCTCGGGAGGGGCGCATGCGCGGGCTGGCGAACTCGGCAGCAGATAATGGCGGCGTATAAGAGCGGGCACGGGCCCTGGAGGAGTATCTGCCGTGCGAGCGCCCCCGACCTCCCGAGCCGCCGCCATGAAACTGCTCCTGCTGGTCGCCCTTCTGGGCGCCGCTGCCGCCTTCGTCGACCGTGACGAGTGGAACAACTACAAGATCGCGTTCGGCAAGAAGTACCGCAACGCCATCGAGGAGCTGCACCGCATGCGGGTGTACGCCGACAACAAGGCGTTCGTGGCGCGGCACAACGCCGAGTTCGCCGCCGGCCGGCAGACGTTCACCGTGGCGCTGAACCGATTCGCCGACATGACCGAGGACGAGGTGAACGCGCTCTACAAGGGCGGCGCCGGCCAGACGAGCCGACCGCACGGCGTGCACCGGCCCTCCGGCCGCCAGGCGCCGGTCAGCATGGACTGGCGCGACCAGGGCGTCGTCACCTACGTCAAGGACCAGGGCGCGTGCGGCTCGTGCTGGTCGTTCGCCGCCACCGGCGCTCTGGAGTCGGCCTGGGCGCTGGCCGGCGGCGGCCTGCAGGCTCTCAGCGAGCAGCAGCTGGTCGACTGTTCGACCGCCAACAGCGGGTGTAACGGCGGCATGGCCTACCGCGCCTACTCGTACGTGGAGGACGAGGGCGGCATCATGTCCGAGGAGGCGTACCCGTACACGGCCCGCGACGGCAGCTCGTGCCACGCCGACTCCAGCCAGTACGTGGCCTCCGTCACCAGTCACGTGAATGTGCCGTCCCATGGTTCGGCCACCATCCTGCGCGACGCCGTCGCCGACGTCGGCCCGATCGCCGTCTCCATCGACGCGTCGCGTCACTCGTTCAACCTGTACAGTGGCGGCGTGTACAACGACCCGAGCTGCAGCTCTTCCTCGCACAACCACGCCGTGCTGGTGGTCGGCTACGGCACCGAGAACGGACACGACTACTGGCTCGTCAAGAACTCGTGGGGTCCCGAGTGGGGCGACAGCGGCTACATCAAGATGACCCGCGACGACACCAACCAGTGCGCCATCGCCAGCATCCCCGTCTACCCGGTGGTTTAGTCGGTGACAGGGGCCGAAAAACATCGGTACTGCACTACGTAAAATGATGCACACATAGAAAAGCTGAAGATAAATACATTTTTACGCCATACGTACCTATCTCCAGTGTCTCAGCACCAGTATTCAGTTATTCAGTAGGGTAGGGTGGGGTAATTTGAACATATTTTTACGTCTTTTCCGTCCTACCAAATTCCAGCTCACCCCTTAATGAAGAAAAACTGTTTCAGTTGCGCAAATGTCACTTCCTTTCACCATGCAAATCTCATTTTTGGATGAGCCGAGTGTACCTTGGATAGCATAGCCTCACTTCTCCACCAAGTCACTGTATGTTCAAATTGCCCCACCGTGGGGTAATTTGAACATACTGCCTTTACGTGCCATAAAAACGATAATCTCGCCAGCACCGATGTTGTTTGATGCATAAACAAATTGGCAGAACAATTCTAAACATACCTTCATTTGAAAAATCAACAAAACAACAAGCATAACACTTACAGAGTATCAATATCTGCATGCTGCACACCGGTCAGTTGACAGAAGTCGCCTCTATTCAGTTAACAGAACGTCTATCATTTCCGTTCAATAAAAACTCTCCCAACCTTACTTCATCTGTTATAGTGGTGCCAATCGGAACCTGGACATAAGGAGTTCTGATTTTGTCCAATGTCCAATTCGGAATTGGTTGGACAAAGGTAGCAGACTGGACAACATTGGACGATGGCTTACTACACTTCAGCATTTTTATGAAGTAATCGTGCAAGCATTGATTGGCGAATGGGAAGCTTAGTTAAGCTCTCAATGTAATGAACACTTTTCAGCTGGTAAAACTACAACATAAACAATTTAAATGACAGCTTTGGATGCTGATCAATACGTAATTTTCGGACATATTTGGACACATGGCTGACTTAATTTTTTTTGGACTGAAATTCAACGAAAATGCCGGACATTGGACGGAAATTAGACACAAATTTTCTAAAACTGGCATCACATAGCTGCTACTGCCTTGTGTCGAACATATTGGCAGAAAAAAACTAGGAACGTTGTTTTTTCGGAGTTATACCTGTCTTTATTGAAATCCTCACACTATGTTCAAATTACCCCACGCTTAAAGTTATTTTGCCATATTTTAACACAGGTTTCAAAAGCCAATTTCTTGGGTTGAAGGCACTTAATAGTTCGTTGTACAACAAAAGCCGTTGCGTATTAAGTGCTAGCAATGTAATATTTTGCGCTGCAATGAAGTTGCAATGACTTGTTGTTGGGCGTTTTTACTTGCGAAATTGATTTTTTACATTGTGCGTCAACATCTTAATTCCCTGAAACTTTAAACCCCGTTCATATGATAGCTCTTTTAGTTACGATAATTTCCCTAATTGGTCTTATTGTCGTGCCACTTATGGATTTTCCATAATTTTGTGTTATTCATACTATGTTCCAATTGCCCCACATGTTCAAATTACCCCACCCTACCCTATTCATGCATACATAGGCGGATCGCCTTGGGCGGATCTAGAAAAGCAGTTTCGGACGAGCTACTGGGGTCTTAACCCCAAAAATGTTTTTTTCAAATTCCAAAGAAAGCTCAGATTTTAATTCTTTATGAATTGCTATACCCTTTAAAAAACTTTTTGAATAAAAGTTGCTTGTTTTTCTTTACATTCTTTTTGGACAAATCTTCACCGATTTTCAAAATTTGCTAATTTTCATTCGATTTGCAATTTTTTCGCACGCTGCGAAGTGGCATTTGCCCCCCCCCCCCCCCCCTGTATCCGCAAACGCATGTTTGGTGAATAGACAAAAATGTTGATATTTCACCCTTTACGAATAAGAATGAGCAATCATTAACTTAAAAAAATACACGTTGAATACCAACCCTGCTTTCAAGGACTCTTGGTATAGTACAGTCGTGTACAGTATGTCTAAAAAGAATGTACCGTCGCCACTACGTGGCGCTGGTGTCGCGAGCCGGTAGTTGGCTGAATCCGCACCAGACCACACATTCCCAAGCGCTAGGTGACAGCTGCGCAGCGGCCGGTAGTAGCGTAAGCCCGAACCTTCGTGACACGACCCGGGGGGGGGGGGAGGGGAGCGGGCGGGGCAGCGCGTGTAGGGAGGGGTGCTCCGGCAAGCTGGCAGTTGTCGCGGCCAAAGGTCAAGGGCCAAGGGGTCACACACCAAGCGAACGGACGCTGATGTGGGTTCGTGGGGATCATGAACTTGTGTGTGGTAGGCGCGTCTTGCGATGCACGGGTGATACGCCAGGTCTAAGCCCAAGGATTCAGGGGAGAGCTGAAGAAAAACACCTGGTCAACTACGGCGAATAACCCGGCCGGGCCCGGGGGGTAATCCCAACCACCGCAGCCCGGGGGGGGGGCGTTTTTCGCCCCCCCCTGTCTAACTCCGTAAATAAGGGAGCTACGGAAACAAAAGCGATACCAAACGAAAGGTCCTTACGAGACGATTCTAATGCACCTAAAATTTTTGACCTCAGGTCAATTTTCAAGGTCAGAGGTCAAGGTCAAAGGCAAAAACCGCCACATGTGTAGTGATCTCAAAGTAAGCCTTCTAGAGGACGGCAGGCTGCATCAAACCGGCAAAATTGGCTGTCAAACGAAAGAGGAGAATCTGAGGATTCTGAAAATGTGCTCAAAGTGAAAGGTCAAGGTCAAGGTCACGCTCAAAATTGACCTCAAACTTGGCACTTTTTCGCATATCTTGCGTGCTAACTTCCAAGATGTTTTGAAATGTTTTGAGGCTTATCAGTTCCCTATTTATGGTTCATCTTACGATACAAGGCTGCTCAAAGGTCAAGGTCACAGAAGAGTATCCCTGCTAGAGGCTATTTCACTGATTCAAGTTAGTAATAATAAATAAGACAATTTTGCACACCGGAAGCTCTAAATGAAGGCTTAGAGGAAAATAGATGCCAGATTCGTGATCAGCGGGTACAAATCCATCATAAACGACCTTTCATGTGTCAAGGTCAACCAGAGGTCATTCGAGGTCATTTGAGGTCAACATGAAACTTGACCTTTTCCGAACAAAATATATATCATTCGACGCGGCTTGACAAGGCGAATGCGATGGTACCACTGCCGTAGCTCTAGGACCATTTTTGTCGAAGTTATTTGCGAAAAACTAAAACCACATTTCGGGGTCGTTGACCTGACCTCTGACCTCAGGTCACCAAAACTATTTTTCTATTTTTCTCTAGGTCAAACGCTACACAACCGTGCTCGTAATTTGTCTTTATCTCTAAAACTCTATTTTTAGCAGCTATTTGAAGTTTGCGTCTGTGACGCCGAAGTTTGCCGTGCAGGGGTCTAGAAAAATGGACCTTGTGACGTCATCAAGGGGGCTAGGTCCAAATTTTTTACTTCAGAAGATGTCAAATTGATGGGAGAAAAGGTACTGAAAGTTTCGCCTTCCTATTCCTAAGCGTTCGGGAGCTATCGCAAATATTCGCCAGGGGGGGCGAAAAACGCCCCCCCCCGGGCCCGCGAGGGATAATGGTGCTGAAAAGTGGAAAGTATGGGTCAATGCAAGCCTTCATGACTATAAACAACTTTTTGAGGACGCAAAGGCCAGCATTGAATAACGATATCCGGATCGAAATTAGCAATGATTTATAATTACATGCCGAACTGATAGCGCTGCAAAACCCTCCTAGTAAATTGGCAAGTCGGATTATACCCACTTGAATTAAACTATCCTAAATAAAATTGTTAATTAACTTTCTAACACTGACGTTCTTTATCATACGATAAGTATGGGGTTAACCAAGATTCAGCATCTTCCGCGTTCAAACAATCGCCTGTAAGGCTAGAACATTAATGGCCAGGTAAAAACATGGTAGGGATTTGATTAACCGGATAATAAGTCGATTTTTTTTAGTCGGGATTTGATACGGATTTTTTACGCCAACCGCATTGTTAAGTCAGGTCACTGATCTATGACGTCATAAATGAGCAGTCCTAAAATGAACTATGTGAAACTGTCCAAAACTGTCCTAAAATGAGCATTTTAGGACTGTGTGCACAGTCCTAAAATGTTCCAACTTCGCAACACCCTCAGTGCAGAGCTTTCATAGGGAGATAAAACTTACAGGATCTTATAGTATGGTCGAGAGGTCTCACAACTTGTATAAATGTATATCTCGGATTTTCTGAAGGGTCGCCTGAGATCAGGTCGGTCTCTCACCATTAAAAGTCAGGTGGAATATGGAAATTGCTAGTTTGATCCGGAAATGATATACAACTATCTCAAATTCTCAAGCACACGGAATCGTGATTTCATGCGCTCCTTGCAAGGTCTGATGCTTCAATTTTGCTTTGTTGATCTTGCGTGACGTCATTTATCACGTAACAGTTTTTCGTCAATAACTCCCGATCAACTAAAGCTACCGAGTCGATAAAGCCACTAATGGACATGAAAAGACCTGCCGAATCGATTGATATGCAATATGACCTCCTTTGACCAGCTTCGTGACCTGACGGGCTGTGACCTGACCTTGGCCCGAGGTTAACACCTTAACTCTCGCCCGTATTGGTGTTTTTCCAGCCGCAAACGTATAAAGGGGGGTCCGTTGGACCCCCCCCCCTTGCCGTTTCGCCCCTGATCGAGCTAGAGCTTCGTGGAAAAAACGAGCGTGTTGGCCGTGACGAGAGGAAGCCGATGATACCCAATTTTCATAGGTCATCGGTTGACCTTCCAGGTCAGGTCAATGACCCAAAAGTCGGGAAAATCGGGACCTGTTAGAAGTCGTAAAGCGTGGCTGCTATGGGGTTTTCGGGGTGCCGATCACGAATATCATGTTAGTTTTGATCACAGATGATGTCTTCATCCATTTAGGCCAGGTCGGGTCAGGTCAGGTCAGGTCAACCAGTAAGGGTATTCGTAGTAGGTGGCAACCGCCTCTGACAGCTTCGCAACGTGTTACGAGGGCACCAAAACTACTTCGTAAATGTTCATATGGCTGCTAAATTCGAATTCAGCTCCTAAAACTGGCCTAGAAACATGTAAAACTCGAAAAAGTGAACCGAGGTCATCAAAGGTCAATGACCTGACCTGACTTTCCGGTGACCTTGACACCCACCCTAATGCGTGGAAGCAACATCATATCCCATGTTTGAACGCTTAAAACCACGAAAAGACTGCAAACGCGCCGGTAATGCGAGCCGACATACGCCGAAACGCGATTCCGGCCAAACATGGTCTCGAAAAGTAGGTCACAGGTCAAAGGTCATTAAGGTCAGGGTCATGACAATTTCAGGGTGGGTGTAAAATTGATTAACGTGAGGGTACTGAAAGTTTCGTCGCGATCAGCCGCTTTTTACGCGAGTTATTCGTGAAAAACCGAGGGAGGGGGTCCGTTCGACCCCCCCCCCCCCTATACGGGCGAGGGTTAAGTTGATCTCACCCGAAGAAAAAGTATACCATTCGTTATGCCTGAGCTAGACAAACACGATGCTGCTAAAATCGCGGATCTGCGATCATTTTTAGCGAAGTTATTTACCAAAAACCGAACCTGTGCCTTGGGCCACTTGACCTAACCTCCGAAGTCATCGGCTGACCCTGGTCCTTAAATCGGAGACCAATCGCTGCATTTCGTAACGACGCGCACGATCGTTTCTTTCGTGAGGCTCTAGCTCAATTAGGGGCGAATCGGCGAAGGGGGTTGTTTCCTCACTTCCAACCCCCAACGCCCCCTCGGTATTCAGAAAACCTGAAGGTCCGGTGAGGGTTAAAACGCTGCTCCTGGACGAGGAAGAAATGTAAAAGTCAAAGCTCTATAGACGTCCTGTAAAAGTGGCCATAATAATAAATTCGTTAGAAATAAGATGCTTTTTAAACGACTTCCTCATATAAAATCGGGTGCTGGGACCAATCTTATAAACGCTTTAGAATGGACAGGGCGTCACTGGCTAAAGTTTGGGTGCAGAAAACGGCTATTACCTAAATGCAAAATGGGTTTCATGCATTTCAGTCAATTGTGTATTGTCGGTCCCAGTGGCCGAGCTGAAAAAAATCGGTAGTGTTTTGCATCTTTTACGCCCTAAGAAACTACACCATCTATCGAAGTGGGCGGGCTTATTTGAATGGGAGGGCGCATTATGCACGAATCGTGTGCTTTCGTTTGTTTTGGACTGTATTTTACCACATCCACTGCTGGTATCACTATATTAATATTATCCAATGCCGTGAATACGACAGCATTCCATTTATAAGATTGGACCAATGGAGTCGCGCCCCGCGAGCTCGGTTTTCCGCTGGGCCGCTACAGGCCAGGAAGTCGGTCTTCGCCTGGGGGCAGGACAAAGGTCAGCGAGGGAGCGCGGGGTCAGCCAGGTATCGCCCAGTGCCGAGCGGATGCCGCTCCCTCCCCTCTCTTCCCCTCTTCTCCCCTCCCCACCTCGGTATAGATGGGGAGGGACCGAACTGCCAATGACATGCGAGCGGTCAAGGCCGCTCGCGCAGCAGCGTCCCTGGCGGCCGGGTGCCGCAACTGGGATTCAGCCAAGTTACCGATTCGCCTCCTGTGGGAGAGCCAAACCAGGGGACATACTTTTTAGATATACTGTACAGGTTGATGGTCCTCTACTCTTTATCCACCGGGTTCCTATGGCTCAGCATTGGCAGCAGCCGCCTGGTACCGGTAGGCTGTGCCGCATGACCCGAGAGTGAAGCGGCACAGTCTACCCACGCCGTTTGACATGGGCTCGGGTCGCCGGGTGGAGCGCTTTGTAGACCAGCTGTTTCGTCAGACCAGCGCGTGGGGAGGGGCTCGTCTCGGTGGTTGGCGTGGGCTGGCGAGTGGTGTGGGGCGTGTTGGTGGACCATGGGGGCTGGGCGGGTATATAGGAAGGCAAGGG